GGTTGAGTTGATGACCTCTGTTGCCCCTTGATTTTCTTTTGCTTCTGAATCTTCTGACTTCTTTTCGTAATGCAGCATCTTGTGGTGAGAGTACTTGCAGCTGTTGACATTACATGGCTTGGGTCGGCAGTGGTGTGTCTTGTTCCTATAGCGAAGACACCTGAAGCAGAGGCGCTTGGACTTGGCCATGTCCCATCTTGCATTTGCATCTAACTTCTTGAATTGTTCACATTCTGTGGCGTTGGTGTGCCCCGTATCTTCACATACGACGCATCTTGGTATGTATGTCTTCTCAGTCACGTTGTTGATCCTTTGAGTCTTCCTTTGTGGTGCGGCTGTAATAGGCGGTGTCATCTTTTCGGGCAGCGCGTAGGGTCCACACAGTTCTGCTTCCCTTTTGAAGAACTTCTCTATCTTGATGAGGCAAGGGTCTTCACGTGGCTGCATGGCTGAGAAGTCGTAGTACCTATAACGCAGAGTTGGCGTCAGTTTGTCTACTATTGTCTTCGCGAGTTGAGGATTGTACATGTAGTTAAAACAACCCAAAGTCTTCAGTGTCGCCACTACGTTGGAGATCTTGGTGGCGAATATGCATATGTCTCTTGGTGACTCAGTAAGGCGCGGCAGACCTCTAAGCGTCTCCATCTCCAGCATGGCTATTGACTCTGGTCTTCCAAATCTTGACTCCAAAGTCTTCATTACTTCAGCCGGGTGTGCGTTGGTCATAAGTAGGCCTTCAACTGCTTCCTTGGCCTTCTCTTTCAAGTTTCTTCTGAGTCGATTCGTATTTTCAACTACGCTGAATGTCGCTTCTGTCTCGTAGTAGGCGGCGCGAAAGGGTAGCCATTCCTGATGAGACCCGCTGAAGAATGGTAACTCGACGAACTTAGGTCGTTGGGCGGCGCTGACAGCCCGAGTGATGGCTTCAGCCAGGAGGGCTACGTCAGTTTGACCTCCCGCCGGTGACTGATGTGTTTCTTCGTGCCTTGGTTCTTCTGCGTGGGCGGCTGTTGGTTCTTCTATGGCATGGTGAGGTTCGTTGGTGATTGCTAACACCGGGCGATTCACTTGATTCTCCAACCAGTCGTCCACTCTTGTATTGACTTCTGATCTTGAGTAGAGGGATGCGTCATCTTCTTCTTCCTCCTCCTCTTCTGAGTCTTCCCTTTCTAAGGCAGCAAGGCGTGCTGCGGCTAATTCCACTTGAAGGCGTAGTAAATCTTCTTTCGCCTTTGCAAGCTTGAGCTGCTTCGTTCTACTGCGTGTAGATCCCCCTCCACCTCCCTTCTTGCTGGGCGGGCGGGGTTCCTGTAGCCCGGTTTGCTTTGATGGACCGGCGGTGCTTCTTATGGCTCGCTTCACTGTAGAAGTTTCTGTTTCTCGGTGAGTTACTCTGGTGACAGTAGCGGGCGGCTTCATCAGCTGTTTGGCCTTCGCACCCGCAGTTAGTGTCGTCGCCGCGGATGGTGTTACGGAAGGAGCGACGGCGCTGGCGGGGTGCGTGGCGGGGGCGGCGGTTGCGGCTGAGGCTGAGGTGGCGGCGGACGAAGTGGTCGCTGCGGTGGCGGAAGTCACGGTGGATGGATCAGTCGCCGCGGAGGTGTCTGTATACTCCGAAGTCTCCGTGGCGGTCGTCCCTGTAGCTGTTGATTCCGTACTGGCTTCCGCACTGGTGGTACCGGTCGCCGAGGTGGTAGCCTTGGACGACGACGGCTTGCTGCCCCTTCCCTCAGAGCGCGTAACGGCCATGCTGTCAGCTGACTTTTTCTTCGAATAATCTTGAGTCTTGAAAAACGATTTCCGAGGAGTCTTCTTAATTATTTTTCTTCAGGTAATTATTCCCCACAAGATTCGGCTGGCGAAGGACCATTAAATGTGCCCTACAGGCACATTTGTATGCTGGATTGGTGGAGAATAAAACCGCTGCGATATTTTTCTTTCTTCTATATTTGGTGTTTTCCTTGAGGTAGCTGGCCGCCGACTGTGTCGAACGACGAAAATCGCCCCTCTTTTATACCGCCTCGGGCTGGGTCAATGGATACGGCCGACGCATCGTACAAATGGCGTCGACCAATCAGCGCGAGGCGTGACAGAGCAAGTGACGATGCTGAGTCCCGTTACATTGTTTGTCTTAAGCTAGTTCTATATCTTACTGAGTCATTGTTTACATTGTTTACCTTAAGCTAGTTCTGTTATACAAAGTGACCAACTAATTTTATTACACAAATATAAGCTCTACACTATTATTTTCTTAACATAAAATGCTTATATCCTATCTAAACTATAATCTCTATTAATATAAATGTTTATCCTATCTAAGTACAAACTAACTATAATATTTATTCCATTAATATAAATGTTTTTGTCTTATTTATGTATCACTATTTGTTTTTCTCTTGTCCCGCACAGATCGGCTGCCCTAGACGCTCGACCCCATATAATGGGCTCAGATATGGTGGGAGTACTCAATAAAGTGCAAGGTTTTCCATCTTGTGAAATTCTGCCGCGCTTGAGTAAATCCCAAAATCCTCGCTTGGGCTCCTCTACTAGTAGGTACCAAACGGAATGAGCATTACTGCAGATGTGTACTGTGAAGAACTGAACAAATGATGGAAAAGCTCGCACGTCTCCAACAAAGCTTTGGTCAATCGCTCGTCCTCGTTGCTCCTGCACGCCAACGCGCGACCTCATACTGCACACCAGACGGTCTCGAAGTTATAAGAGCTGGAGTTGGAAGCTCTCCGTGATCCGCCGTACTCACCAGACCTTGCGCCTACATACTTCTACTTTTTCCCGAATATGGATAACTTTTTGATATCCTTGAGAGGCAGTACAAACTGTCTTTGAAGAATATGTTGCCTCCCGTCCAGCTGATTTCTTCAAGAAGGGCATCAATGAATTGCCACTGCGTTGGCAAAATGCATCGATTGAATGGATGATTACTTTGATTAGTAGAAATAAAAATATAGAAAAAAATTACGTTAACTTATTTTATAAAAAAACGGCAATTTCTTTGGTAAAGACCTAATAATAATTATAAAACACTCATCAAAATGATTTTATTAAAAGGAGCTGGAGCTGGAGCTTGGAGCTGTCCCGATTCCCGGGGGGGGGAGTTATTCGGTGCTGGTGGGTCTGAAGAGTATAGAGAACTAGTATAATTACTGATCCTTGATCCCCAGAGGTGACAACGCACCTGTAGCCTTTGTTCGAAGCTTTGAACTCGGCTGCAAGTGTCTCAGGGATGGTGGTCAGTAAGTTTGATTGTCGACTCGACCGGGGACCATGCTCTTATATAATAGCAACACAAAATAGCAGAATAATGATGCTGTTTCTTATGGTGAGGTAGAGGATCAGAGCTCGTTTTACTGGTAATGAGCATTTTATCTTAGTTCTTAGGGGTTAATTGGTGTAGACGTGGTTGTCTATGGACCCTATGGTCCATAGACAACCACTTCTACACCAATAATCCTGATGGTAAGTGGATACTATTATCCACTTACCATCAGGTTGATGGTGCTCCTTACTCCTAGAAAATAAAGCTTCCATAGCAGCAATTTCTTTACTAGTTGTAAATGATTTTTTCTTCTTTGCCATTACATTTGAGTCACTCTATTTCAGAAATTATGATCCAATCGCAATGAAGAGAAATACTTAATGAATTCTACTTAGTAATAAATTTAAAAGTTAAACTTTAACTAAGATGCTGCATAAATAAAAAAAAATCTGGTTTCCTAAAAATAGTATCATTATATAGTATGTTTTTCTTCGAGTTTTTATAATATATGAAAATTCTGGCACTTAACTTCTGTAACGTCACTCACACAGAATGTACCAGAATTATCCTACTTTCTACAGATTAAAAGAATTATCACAATGCATAGCATTTTGGTTTTATTAAATAAATAAATAATATAGTTTAACATAATCCAACTACCTACCCAAGTTCACTGCCGATCATAGGCCTCTCCCATAGATAGCCTCATTAAGGGGATTTGGCCATAGTTGCCACGCATGGCAGGCGGGTTGGCCACTGCAGTTTTTTTTAATGATTTTAAATTGTTTTAATCAAAATTTCCCTCTGTTGACTCTTATGATAAACACCGGACAAAATGAGCTAATGGATATACTTACACTGCCCAAACAAACTAAAGAAATATTTGAAATGAAAAAAGGAAAGTGTTTTAGTGGGTTTATTTTTCCAAAAACATTGTGCAGTGTTTAAAGCAACAAACATTTATTACTGTTAAATTTATGTAAAGTATCTTTAATGTACAAACATATTTTCTAATAAAATTTCTTTAGTTTACACATTGTCTGTAGGATAGCAATACAAACAAAATGTAATACTGAAAAAATATCAAAGCCATAACCATATTTAGGTCTGCCACATACATACGGAATTCCGTACGGGTCGGCCACATACATACGGAATCCAGTTTTGCCTGCAAAATTTCGAACGGAAAACTACCGTATGTGTGTGACGGGTCATAGATTTTATATGGAATTGCTGCATTCGGAATTCTGAATCGAAATATCGAAATGAAATCCCGAAAACGAATTCCGTATGTATGTGGCCGACCTTATTTATTAATGTGACATTTGTGTCAAATTAATAAATAAATTGTAACATTTCCAATAGCTATAGAATAACACTAACCATGAATTATACAAAATCTTCAAATTTTTCTACACATATCAATATATTTGATAGTAATATAAAAGTTGATTTATACTAAACAAGCTGTAACATCCTATTTTACACCCTCAGGGATAGAATTATCCAGAATCCTGTCTTAGTGGGTGTCTATATCAATAAGAGTATATATGTCAAATTTCAAGTCAATCAGGTGTATAGATTACGAGATCTTGTGATGAGTGAATTAGTCTGTGATATTTTATATAGTTGTATATACACGTATGTGTAATAAATAAATAAATAATTTGTACTTAAAATGTCATGCATAATTTTACTAAAATTTTAAGGAAATTCTACTATTCTATATTGTGTCAATTTCTATATTTATTCGAAAAACTGAAGCAGGATCTGCTAGTTCATTCCGGACTGCATTTTCAAATTTCTTAAAAATGATAGAAAATTCCATTATATTTTCTGGTTTTGATTCAATCCACATTTTATCAAATTCAAAGAACAAATAACAATAAAACCTATGAAATAAATTAATAGTAGGTAAGTATTGTTTAGTGTTAAACATATAAGTCTTAGCAGATCCATCTTTTAGAAGGTAGTAAGCCATTGAAGTAATGTTAATACCTACAATTGCAAAGGTATAACCATATAAAGGATGACAAGAGTGACTTAGTACATGACTTGATACTTCTGGATATTCTGTAGCAAAAAATAAAAGATTTTCTAATCCAAGCATACCCATGCCACGGAAATCAGTCTTTGGATCATCCCCCTGAAAAAGTAATTGAGAAGTATAATTTTTTAATTGAAAGGTAATTCACAATAATTTCAATAAGTTAAAATAAATATAAAAACCTGGAAACCTATATATTGCCACTGTTTAGTGATTCGGTTTTCTAAAGGTGTGTCAGGAACCAGTAAAGACCACAACTTTAATAACTTCTCTTCATGTAATGGATTATTACTGTCAAATTGCGTCCGACGAAGGTTTTCCACATCGTTCATGAGACTTCTGTAACTCCAAATTTGTTCTAAGCATCGTCGAAAAGAAGTGATGAAAGGTGTGTGAAGTTTCGCGTTAATTTTTTTAACTCTAACTATAATTGATATTGAGGGTTCTAATATATCACGAAAGTTTTCTGGAATAAACCTATGTTCCGAAACAGTTGCATCTAAAAAGGAAATTACTTCCTTTACACTTTGTGTACGCGATAACATTAAAGACTTTTCAACATTACATGTTCTTGCAGCTCCGGCTTTGTCACCATAACATATTCTTTGTAGCTCACACAAACGAGTTGTTTTCCGAAAAAACCACTTGATGAAAGGTCTCAAATACCATGCGAATAATGACCAAAGATTTAAAAATATCATTTCTTATCTTCCGTTTATTAAGGTTTTCATTCCTCCAGGTTGTGATGTGTATTGTTTAATATTTTTTCAAAGAAAATGTTTATTATACAAAAAGTATGTACTAATTAGCTAATATCGGGTAATATTTTTTTCACTTTTTAAATTATTATTTTGTAAGTTACATGGGCTTCAGTTTCAATCAATTCAATCCTATACATGTATAAAAAGTAAAGAGTACTCTGTGGTCTGTGCCTGTATATCAGTGCTTCCAGATCCAAAAAGTAAAATTACAGTGTTGCCAGTTAAAAAATACAGGAGTTTCTAAAAACAATACAGCAGATTTCAAAATCGATTACAGTAAAATTACAGTAAAACTTTGTTTAAATTTGATAGAAAAATAAATTGCTTTATGACTTTGTTTATCAATACAAATTGCTATAAGTTATTAAATAAATAAAAACATACATTTACATTAGATTCCTTTGAATGAGTTTTTCTAGAAATAGCCATACATTGGAATTATACGAACATAGACGGTTGTATTGATGATTATAATGATTATAATTCTGTAAATACATACTCGTTACCCTCGCGAATCATATTTTGTTAAACATACAACCTGACACTGACTTGTAAATTGCAAAAAACGTAAGAAAATTTGATTTTCGCGGGCCACCCTGGAGCTTCCACTTTAATGTAATAAATTAGACGAAAAATGCAATGTTACTTTGTAAGACAGACTGCTACTTATTGCTAGTTGCGTCCCAGAGTGCCCACGTCAGTTCCGATTTGCCAGGGAATTCCCCGCAACTTTGTTACAAACCTGCTGTACATTATCTATGGATAAAGGTCAGTGTGTGTCAAAGAGAATATAATCACTATATTTGCTGGGTGTAGATGCTCCGTTCCGTTCTACGTATTAAAATTGATAAAGCTATATGAAAATTAAATACAGTATATTCCATACACTGTATTTTATCATCACAGTATACAGTAGAAAAGTACAAAATACAGTAGATCTACTGTAATTACAGTGAATCTGGAAGCACTGCTGTATATACAACTTTATAATTTGTGGTTCAATCATAGACACGACACGACACGACAGACCGACTAGTGATGTAACTCGAGCCATGTTTCACTCGGCTCACTCGAGTAGTTTTTATTTTACTCGCACTCGAGTAATATTTATGACAACTCAGATTACGAGTGACTCGAGTCAACTATTCGGGTAGAATCTACTAGTTAGTCTGTGAGTCAACTCGAATGACTCGGACCACCAGAGTGGCCTGTACCGACTCGATTAACAAATTCAAGTAAAAACAGTTTTAGTCGATGTATCTTCCATTTGAAATGAAGTATAAATTTGTTTGAGTGATTTCTTTGTATTTAGTAATATGTTTATTTAAGACTGTTTGCTATTAGTACATGCTCAAAATGAGTAAGAGTTCCAAAAAAACTATAGTGTGGTCGTTTACAAAAATGTTGAACAAAAACAGTTATTTGTAAGTTGTGCTAGAAAAGTTATAAAGACTTTGTGAATACTACCAACTTGATTTCTCACAATTTGAAGAATAATCATCCGATTGAGCACAACAATAATATGCAAAACTAAATAAGGATATTAAGGGTGAGTCACGTTCATCTCATGCGTGTTCTTCAACTAATGAAGTAGAAAGTTTTGCTACCATCTCTGCTGATTCCAATTCTACATCAAAAAATCGGTATTTTTTAGAAACAACAAAAAAAAATCTTTAGCTCTAACCAATTAATTTGTCAAGACTTACAACCTTTGTAAGGTTTTATTAGATTTTTACAGGCGAGTAACTCGAGTGAAAAAAAGTCACTCGAGTTTTATCTTCTTTCGAGTGGCACTCGAGTGACTGGGTTATCACTGGCGAGTGACTCGAATGAAAAAATGTCACTAAGACAGACATACACAGACTTCTTAATAACTGGCTTTACGGCTCTGGGTACTAGCCCTTCTTAGTCTGAAGTTACAATGTATAATTAATAATTATCGTTCATAATACACTGCTTCACAATAAGTTGATGCGTCACATTGTGCAGCTCTTGGGAGATTGGGAGACTAGTATAATTCACCTATATTGCAGCAATGTTTGTCAAAAATTAAATGTAATATCTTGATGTTGGTAGAGTAGAGTAGCTTGGCACACTTTCATACTCGTTTTTCATACTCTAACAGTGGTACAACCACGCGGCTGCTTTTGCTGTCGCACGGATGGGCCGGCTCGAACCGGGGTGGTACCACGACCTCGCAGAATACCAGCGTGAAGTAGAGGTTTACCTCTGCGTTTCGCTTGGTGGGTGCAGGTGGCCCGAGGCCCTTTTTACTGGAAATGAGGCATTCCATCTTAGTCCTCACGGGTGACAACGCATCTGCATTTTGATTCGCAAACGAGGATAGATGTAGATGTCTATGGGCCGCAGCAACCACTTACCATCTGGTGGACTGTGTGCTCGTTTTTCACCCTTATCCTATAAAAAAAAAATTACTTCGACCCGTTCGGAATTCCGTATGTATGTGACAGGCCTTAGTAAAGAAGTCCCGCCTCTTATGCCCCCCCCCCCCCGTCTCTCGTGACCATGCGTGCTGGAAAGCACCCAAAACGTCGGGAATTAATAAAAATAAGTTAATTAAACGCGATAGAATCCGTAAAAGTAGTTTTATTCAATGTGTAGTGTTCGCGTAAATATAACAAATCATTATAATATACTCAAACAATACTATACTACTATAGCTCAAAATAAATAATTATACACAGAAAAATAGTTAGGTTCTTATGATACTGTGTATAATAATAATAAGAAATTATTTTATTACAATATTTTAAAAGCACAGAATAAATAATAGTAGTACGTACTAAAAGTAAGTAGTATGAATTTTTTTGTCATGGGTGACATTTTTATGGTTTTCGAGGGTGTTGAAACCGATAAGGTTGTCGAAATGTAAATCCAAGATGGCGGCCGCAATAGGTATCAATTTTTTCATTATGGGTGTCATTTTCATGGTTTTCGAGGGTGTTGAAGCCGATAGTGCTGTTGAAATGTAAATCCAAGATGGCGGCTGAATTAGGTACCAATTTTTTCATCATGGGTGTCATTTTCATGGTCTTCGAGGGTGTTGAAGCCGATAGTGCTGTCGAAATGTAAATCCAAGATGACGGCTGCATTAGATATCAATTTTTTCATCATGGGTGTCATTTTCATGGTTTTCGAGGGTGCTGAAGCCGATTGTGCTGTCGAAATGTATTTAAACTACTTTAAAAATTCCGTATAATCATGTTATACGTAATGTTTTTAATGCGCTTAAGGCATGCCCAATTGGATTTACCAATTTTTTTATTTTTATTTAAAATTTTCTTCTGTAATATACTTAATTATAAAAGTAAAGTTATAGCCTATATATGTCCCACTGCTGGGCACAGGCCTCCTCTAATTCCTGAAAGAGTTTTAGGGCAATGAAATGTCCGCCACGCTGCCCCAATGCGTGTTGGCAAATTTCACATGTCTTCGAAACATTTTTTTAATTTCTCAGATATGCAGACCCGGGTTCGAGCCCCGCCGGCACCAATAAAAGTGTTAATTGTAATTGTGCTGATTTACCACGTGCTCGGCGGTGAAAGAAAACATTCTGAGGAAACCTGTATGTCTGAGAATATAATTATAATCGAATATAAATCAAATTGACATAGGTACCTACAGATAAAATTAGCGGAACATTAATAAAATTTTGGGATCGTTTTCTTTAAAAATTTTATTTATCATACGCTATTTTTGTTTGTGCTTGTGTCAATTTGATTTACATTCGATCTCTAAATTGTAGTATGTGAGGGAAACGGGGATCTATCAGCTCCAGCACAACACATTTCTGATAAAAGTTATCTAATTTTAAAGTATTGTCTGTCGGCCAAAACGCATTATCTCTTTCAATTATATCAATTTACATGTTCCAATTTCCATTTGTGTCCAAATAACAAAATAGTAAAACTTTTAGTTTCGAATAAAACTCGATTACGCGCGCGTCACCTCGCGTGCAAGTGTGCGTGAGCGCCGTGCTCCCGCACCGCACCGGGGGAAACATTATTCAGTGAGATGCACAATATTTCATAGTAAAACGCACGCGTAAAAAAATACTAAAAAGCCTTTGGAAAATCGAGTTTTATGAAAAAACCACGGATAAGTCAATTACAAATAAAATTTATTGAATTATTTGATAATTGAGCTTTAACGATACCGACTTTGTTTTGGAAATTTTACACTTCTTCTATTACGAATTTACGCCCAAATTTGTGTTAAAATTGGCAATGAAAAGGAATCTTTGGTAGGAATATTAATTTAATTTTTTATTAATTTTATAGGAATTACTCCTAGCGAAATTTGGAAAACCTATGCTACCGCAAGACTACTTCGACGAGATATTAAGATTCCAACTCGGTACGAAAGAAACTGCAAGTGAAGCTGCGAAGCGTGTCTGGGGGAAGATAGAGCATATCCCTCACATCGAAATATCAGAAGATGTCATTACGGGGTCTGTAGCTTCTGTGCTATGCTAAAAAGATGGTATTATACGACGAGAGCTGTAATCTTGTAATCCGACTAGGGTCGACTATCCCGGGGCCCATCAGCGGAACACTCGACGAGCAACCAAGGGTGGAGCCCAATGGCCTATGTACAATTATTCTTAAACGGCTGATAATCAAACAAAACTTACTGATCTCCGGAGTTAGGGTTGACCACAGGGTACCAGTCAGGTGACAAGTGAGGCGTATGTAAAGTGGTGTGCGAAAGGGTGTATAAATGGAACCTGACTCCCCCGAGGTAGTCGGACCGCAGATCCACAGGCGCTGCTTATCTCCAAATGTGCGATCCCCAATTGAAACCTTCTGCTTCGATTTCACTATTTCAGTTTATCAACTTTATCGTACACTATTTCAATCTATCTACTTTATTGTACATTTAATTAACTTCAAATTCAACAAAATCAACGTTCATCGAAT